TGTGTGTTTGTGTGTATGCGTGTGCATGTGTATTCACCCACCTCTCCCCTCCTCTTACCCCCACAAAGCGCCCTGAGGAGGGACTTCCTGAGAGAAGGCCAGCTCTTTATCTCCACGTGGAGTCTAGGCCCCAGTGGCGGCCTTGGCAGGAAGCCCAGGGCTCGGGCTGTGAGGCAGGAGACCCGGATAGAGTCCCCACTCCATCACTAACTTGAAAGGTGACATTCAGAATCCCTTGACTTTTCTGGAAGGTCGGGCTGAGAGCTGCCCAGGGACTGGTGGGACTGGTGTGGAGAGCACAGGGAGAGGAGAGGGCCAGCACTTGGTACCTGCGGTAGCACTGACTCACCTCACCCCACGGCACCTCCTTGAGCAAGATGGTGCTGCCCTGCTCTGCCAGTGAGGAAACAGGGGTTCTGTGAGCCCAAGATTGGCTGAAAGTCCCCCAGCTGGCAGGTGCAAGTGGTAGGACTCAAACTCAGGCCTGTCCAACCCAGAGCCTAGCTATTCCTGCCCTGCCACTCTCCAGAGGCCACACTGCTTGGCCTTCAGCCGCATTTCATAAATGTTGGCCTCATTAATTCAGTGGGAAGGGTCTGAAGAGGACCAAGTTCTCTGAGGGGGGTGACTTTAGTGAGCGTTGTCCGGACAGCTCCAGCAAGCTCCAGGAGGCAGCAATTGCTCAGCCAGAGTCCAGGCACTGAGGGCTGGGACTGGCTCTGCCAGCAAGCAGAAACCAGCTAGAGGCTTCTCGTTGGCAGCAGGAACAGAGTGGAGCACAGAGTCCCCGAGTCTCACCAGGGCCTGGGTTCACAGTGAGGGTGGGAGGAACCAGGCATGAAGAGCCTCACAGAGAAGCTGGCACTTGCAAAGCACTTCGCTTGTGCCCCTCCCTCCCGCTGCTGGGGACGTTCAGTGCTTACTGTAGTCCAGCCACTGTCCTCAATGTGTCATTTCTTCCTTTATTCTTGTAACAACCCTTGAGGCAGGATTCCTTGTATTTCCCTCTGAAGATAAAGGAACTGAGGCACAGAGAGGTTCTGCAACATTCCCAAGGTCACGCTGTCATAAGTAGAGGCTTCGGGATCGATCTCAGGCAGTCTGCCTATGAGTGACCTCACACGACCTGCCAGAGGGCAACTCAGGTGCCCCTTGACCTCCCATGCTGCCGCTGGAGAATGAGGATAGCGTGTCCTCACAGAGGACATGAGTGAGGTTTGGAGTGAGGTTTAGGCAGAGAGGTGACCTGAGTCAGCCGTCACACCACCAGACAGTCTTAAGGAAATGCAGGCTCGGCCACCCTTAATGCCACCCCTTCTAGAGCTCTGCGACAACATGACTTACTGTAGTCCCAGCAGCAGGTGTATCAGCAGCTCGGCAGTGAGCACTGTGGTCCCAGCCAGATGGGGACCAACAGGCCTCACATGCCTGCTTCCTGCTCAAGGTCACTGAGCCAGTTAATGGGGAAGAGCTAACAGAAGCAGAGCTACCTCAGTCCTCCTCCCTCCAGGCCCCAGACCGGCTGCCATCCCCAGAACAAGGTGGGCTGGAGTGGGGACGACACGGAGGCTCTGACTGGGGAGGAAACCTCCAGCTGGGCTGTCCCCGCGTGACTGAGAGACCCGACACAGACAGAAGGGGGGTGATGTGCCTGTCCCAGGCTCCTTGAGGATGGATGAGTTGTGGGTCTCAGGGACAGAGGCAGAGGCAGACTGGGAGATGGACTCCAGGGCCACTGTCTGAATGAGTTGTGTGACCTGGGGAAAGCCATGTCACTTCCCTGAGCCCCCACAGCCCCCTCTGTAAAATGTACATCATCAGAGCTCCGTGCTCTTCCAGGTCTAAACCTTGACCTTCCAGCATTTTCCATCCCTGAGTGGAACAGAGGAGCACGTACAGGCTGGGGAGTTGGCCAGCCCCCTTCTCTGTTTGCTGGTCATGTGGCCTTGAGGCTACTCTTTCTGAACTCAGTTTGAGCAACCCAGAGCCAACACAGCCTTTGTTCCTCACATCAGCCCCATACAATGAACAAGAGGGTCCCATTTTACAGATGTGAAAGTGACAGCTGGAGAGCCAGCCCCTGGACCTAAAATATCTGTGGTTTAATGAGGGAAAACAAATGGAAATCGATTATATAACAAGTCATTGACAGTAAAGATCTTTATTGGTGATGGTCTTCTTTAGACCCATGATGAGGGCAGTGGGCTGCAGGGAGTGGGCTGGGAGGCCCATAGTGGGGGCACTTGGAGTAAGCCTTGGGAGATGGGCAGTACTTGCCCAATGGCAAGGAGTGGCACAGTCTTCCTCGGCAGAGGGACAGCTGGTGCCTGTGCTTTGTGATGGAGAGAGGACTTCCCATTCAGGAATACACCTGTTTGGGGCTGGCTGTGTGGGGCTGAGGGATAATGAGGCCAAGGCCAGAAAAGCTGGCAAGAGCTAGATTATGGTGGACTCTGTATGCCATACTGAGGAGTCCAGAATGTACCTTGAGCAGGTAAAGGGCAGGCATTGGAAATTTCTGAAAAGGAGTGAACGCTTATTTAAAAACCTCCAGGGCTGGATGTGCCAACTTAGCATCAAAGATGCCTTTTCAGGAAACAGAGTTATCAGAGAGCACCTGAGATGCCCTCAATTTCTCTACACCCCAGTCCTCAGCTGTAAAATGGGATGGTGACCTTGCCTTCTGTCTAACACCCACAGAAGAGGTGAGCCCAGGGATTTGGGCTCCCACAGATGAAGGTACTGATGGCGAGATCACTGTCTTTTTACAAACAAGGACAAAGCAGTTCCATCCAATCAGCTGGGGGAACATACCTGCTGCCAAGTTTAGTAACTGACAGATGGTTGCAAGTAAAGGGGAAGGTAAACCCAGGAGGGACCTGGGAAAGGTTACTGCAAGGACAGTGCTGGGAAGGAAAAGGCCAGAAGAGAGAATGTAAGGAGTCAGCTGCAGGGATCGGTGCCCAGCCATGGGTCCCACAAGCTGCTGGGCTATGGGCATGTCACTTCCTCTTCCTGAAACTTACTTTCCTCAGCTGAAAAAGAGAGGGAGGCAATCGTACCTAACCACGGCATTGTTAGAATATGAGCTGGGAGAACGAAACTCATATTTATTTGCATAATGCTTGATAGTTTGCAAAGCAGATTACCTGCTTCATCTTCTCAGATCCCATGGGGAAGGAGGGGGCATCTGTCGAGTGCCTGCTGTGAGCCAGGCACAGGACTGGGTGTTGTGTTTGCATTCATCTCATGCCAGCTTCCTAACAGCCTTCCTAGAGAGCACCGTTATCTTGATTTCACATTTGAGGAAACTGAAGTCACACCACGAGGAGGTGGCCCAGCGGTATTTGACCTCAGGGTTGTATGAGCCCACATTTCCAGATGCTTCCATTGCAGCATGTGGTCTCCCTCAAGTTATCTAAACTGTGTAGGCTTTTAAATATCCCTTCATGGACATTTTGAGGTTGAAGTAAATAAATTCTATAAACTTGGTTTCTCATATGTAAAAATACAGTTAATATTAGTTCCCTTGACATAGGAAGTTATCATAATTACAATAAGTATAATTAATTAAAACAATAAATTACTTAAAAGATGCAAAGTGCTGACTAGCACTTGTCACATGTATAATATATATTTTTACACATAATACACACACTAGATAGGTACAAATGCGAAAGTATCATCAAGGAGGTGGGATGGTAGGGACTTTTGTACATTGCTGATGGCAACAGAAAGTTGCAAGTTGTTATGGTTTGGATCTGGAATGCTTCCCCAAGCTCATGTGTTTAAGCAATGTACAAATGTTCAGAGGTGAAAAGATTGGATTATGAGAGGGATAAGTGGATTAATCCATTTGATGGACTAATAATTTGCACTACTGGGTGGTACTGCAGGTAGGTGGGCATGGCTGAAGGAAGTAGGCACTAGGGGCATACCCTTGGGGACTATATCTTGTCCCTGGCTTCTCTCTCTCTCTCTCTCTCTCTCTCTCTCTCTCTCTCTCTCTCTCTCTCTCAATCCTGGCCACAATAAGCTGAGTAGCTTTCTTCTTCCATGATGTGCTGCTTCATTTTAGGTCCAGAGAAATGGAGGTTGCTGACCATGGATTACAACCTCTAAAACCATGAGCCAAAATAAACTTTTCCTCCTCTAAGTTGTTCTTGTCAGGTCTTTCCTTTACAGTGGGGAGAGCTGACTAACACATGCATTTTGAAGAGAAATTTGGAAATATCTAGTAAAACTAAAGATGCATACATGTCATGACCCAGAAATTACATTCCCATGTTATACACCTTAGAAAAGAATTTGCACATGTGCACAGGGGGAACATGTATAATAATGTAATGGCATTATTTGTGAGAAAATAATACGGAAAACAAACTAATTATTCATTATCAGAAGAACAGATAAGTAAGGTAAACTACAGATAGTCATGGAATATAATACTGTGGTGAAAAGAAGTGAACTAGAGCTAACCCCACCAACATAGATACTGAGCAGAAAGCAAGTCTGAATGAACCAGAATAATAGTATTTTGATAAAGTTCAAAAACATGCAAAAAAATGCATGTTCAATTTAGGAATGTTTGCATACAGTAAAACTATCAAGAAAGATAAAATAATGAAAAACACAAAATTAAAGTTGATGGTTATCTGTGGAAGGGAAATTAGGAAGTAGGACAAAGGACTTTAAAGGAATAGATAATACTCTACTTCTTGAACTGATGAATCCCTGGTATCTATTATGTTATTGTTCGAATTTAAGTAATATATTTTTATGGCTGGCTACTGATGACTAATTAAGCATATATTTTATATGAATTAAATATTTAGTAATAAATTTAAAGTATAATTGTAAAGAAATATACTCAATCAAAGAGCATATCTTGTTTACCTTTGGTTGTGTGATGTCAAGCATGCTTCCTTGCTCACAGTGGATATTTCAGAAGTTGTCAAGTGAATGATTGGATAAATGGGTGAATAGATAATTCTCAGTCTTTACCTTCCCATTTCACGCCCTTCTACCAACATAAACACTGAGCTGGGGCTAGATTTTTGCTAACGCAAGCCACTGGAGACAAGAAGAGGTAGGGAATTTAGGTGACTGTACAGCTCAGCCTCAACATGGGGCATATAAGAAGATTTCATTCAGTCCTATCCATTCATTTATTCATCCATCCATTCATTTATTCATCCATCCATTCATCTATTCATCCATGGGTGAATCAGGTCAATAAGCATTTATTAAAACAAAACCAAGTAGAATTCAGCAAGAGGTTTTAGAGCAATCTCTTCAAAAAAGTAAATTTCCATAATGACTCTGACTACTCTGTCCCAGAGATCATCACAGTGCCCCATCTAGATGTGGGAGGCAGACACAGGACACCTTGAGATTCCCAGCTCACCTTGGCACACAAATGAAGAGGGTGTTTCCCCCGGGTGGACTCGTCCTGTGATGAATACCACCTTCTGCTCTGCCCCTTCTCGGAGATTGTCTGCAAAATAAAATGGAAGAAGGTCTCTAAGGAGAGCAAGGAAAGCTAAGACTAGGGATTGGTGTGTGGGAGGGAGGCAGATGAGGAATGGGTTGGATGCTTTACATTCATCTCTTAAATCATTAGGTTAAAACTATTAAGGCCCAGCTATTGCTGACTAATTAAATTATGTCTCTAGCTACCCCAAATTAAAAGACTACATTTCCTTTTTTATGTAACTTTGCATATCATATGAATATGTAATAGTCACAATCATCTGAAGAAGCCATATAAGTGAAGTTGAGTCCCAGAGTTAATGACTGTGACCCAGGCAGTTTATGTTTCTGATTTTCAATGTTCTAAACTATCATTTAAGATAACAATAATGTACTTCATATTGTTGTGATGACTTAAAGCTATACATTGTATGACAGTCAGCAAACATCAAGTAGATCTTGGCGTAAAAATGTTTTCTATTTGTGTTATTAATAGTAGCAGCTGCTTTTAAATTAGCCCCTTTTGCATCAGACACATTATATACATATTTATAATCCTTACAACAATATGAAATTAATACAAATTTTATAAAAACAGATACTAAGACTCAGAGAAGTTATATAACTTTTTAAAGGTCACCTAGTTAATAGGTGATGGTAGGAGCTGAGATTAGAACCCAAGTTTTTGTCTGGTGGTGATGAAGTAACAGAGACACACCTTCAAAGACTTTCACCTTCAATGACTACAAAATTAAACAAAACATGCTAAACAATTATCTTTACATATTGGACAATAGTCAATGTGAGATAAACCAGGAGAGAAGGGAAACAAATGAGGCATGATAGTCCTGGCATTCTGCCTGATGGTCCCTCGCAGACCAAGGAGTTGGGAGTGGTGTCCTGAGCAGAGCAGGGAAGTGCCACTAAGGGTCAAATCCAGCAAGTGGCAATTGTGGGGAAACTGAACTCCAGAGAGGAGGAGCACCATAGAAAAAAGGTTGGGATATCTATGAGGGAGTCTTCCTGGGTCTTTGTGAGATCCTATGACGTGCACACATAGGGCAAATCTTCATTCTCTAGTTTGGATTTTGAATGTTCCCCAAAGGCCCAAGTGTTGAAGGCTTGGTCCCCAGCCGTGACACTGTTGGGAGGTGGTGAAACTTTAGGAGACAGGGCCTAGTGGAAGAAAATCAGTTCACTGAGAGAATGGAACTCCAACCCCTTCCTTTATGCCTTTGCCTCCTAGCAGGCTCCCACCATGACATGTTGTGCTGCCACAGGCCCAAAAGTGTTATGGACTGAACCCTGTGATACCATGAACCACAATAAACCTTTCTTCCTTATGGGTTCTTTATCTCAGGTATTTTGTTAAAAGTGATGAAAAAAAAAAAAAAAAACTGGCCAGGAAGCTGTGAACTGCCCAGTTTTCCAGGATCACACAGAGCTAGGAATTATTTGAATTCCCACCAACGACATAAATGCTTGTTGATCATTCTGGTAGGATGAGAATGTAATCTAGACACATTCTAACAAAGTATTAAAAGAAGTCTGAAAAAATAGATCAGAACAAAAGAAACTTAACAGCTTGCTCTCCAAAGCCTAACTCTCTTTAAAGGAAGACAACAAAATCCAGACACTCAACAATGTATATAATTTGCAACATCCAGCATCTAAGAAAAAATTATTAGACATGTAGAAAAGTGGGAAAATATGGCCCCAACTCAGAACCCAAGCTCTTTCTGCCACTATCAAGTTTTCCCTACATAATAATGTTCATCTATTGTGCAAATATGTTATTACATAAAAACAACAGCCAAGAGTGACATGCATGGAAAAGAAGGAGCGGGGACGGGGGTACTCAGCAAGGGCAGAAGAAAGACTGGCCGGCACAGAGCAGAACAGTGACCTGAACTAGATTTAGGAAGGAACATTGAGTGAAACTGGATTAAAGGTCCCATCCATGTTAGAGGATCATCTAGAGAGAGGGGTATAGAAATAATGAAGAGGCTTTCTCTTTTTAAAGTGCTGGCGATATATCATTTTTAATATGCTTCATCATCCCAACAGAAGCACAAATGTCAGAGGCTAAAGTAAAAAGTATTAGCTCCATTAAACATTGCTCTAAAGGCCTATAACTTGTTTGGTCCATTCAGGTGACCAGTAGGGGCTTGGGGGTCACTGTCTCCCTTGAAAGACGGAAAGAAATATAATGGAAACAAAATGCATGAGAACTCGTCCTGTGCTGATCTCTTTGCTAGGCACATTAAGGAACCAAGAGGGAGACAGGGGCTTACCCACTCTGAAGAAAAGAGGAATTGAACACCTGAATATTTCCAAGACCGAATAAGCTCCAGAAGGGAGAGATTGTAACTTCCATGGGCTACCCATAATGCCTCTCCCAGGACTCTGTACACAATAGGTGCTGGAAACTGATTGTTGAATTAATAAATTAAAATACATTGCATAGAACATGGTTTATAAAGTTTAGATACATACTATCTCATTTGATCATCTGCATTCTCTTATGTGGTGAACCCATTTACAGGTAAGGACACCGAGGCTCAGAGAAGTAAGGGACATGCCCAAGGTCATACAGCCAGCAGTGAATCCCTGACTCCCATCCAGCATCCCTATTGTTATCCCATCTGTCTCCTTCTTGATCCACTAACAACATTCTAAGATTGCACATCCTCTCTATTTCCATCTACAATGTACACAGGAGAGTTTGGTTTCATTCCTTATTGCTGATGGAAATACAGCTACTGTCTTAGCATTTATATTGCTTTTTAACTTAAAAATAATAATAAAAAAACCCCACCACCAAGCCCTTTAAAAAAATAGTACCTAACACTGACCCCATCTATCCCAGCAGTCCAGAAATGATAAATGGCACTGCTGAGGCCCTCGGTGAAGGCTAACTTTATGGATGTCTCCCTTGACCCAGTATCAACTCAATTGCATTCAGCATTTCTGCTGACCACAGGGAAATGCAAAATGGGCATTATATTTGCACACTAATTTTACTGAGCCCCTGTGTCTTCATAAAATGATAACGTGGGGCTAATAAAAATCAAGCATCTCGGGTGCTAATATAAGCAAATGTTGATGCAGGCAGGTAACAAATTGCTTTGTCATTTAGGAGGCCATAAAAGAGCATTATAATCATCTTTAGGTAAAATGGATGGGTCGCCTTTGCTTAGCTTTTAGCTTTCATTTGCAAAATCAATTTAAGGTAATGTAGCAGGGTGGTATGACATGGGACCACCCCCACCCTCTCCTGTCACCAAATCCCCAGGCTGCATGCAAAACCAATTAAACATATTCTTGGTGGAGGCACAGGGATAAAGAAGGAAGTGCACTTGAACAAAGCTAGGGTAGAACAAAAAGCAAACAACACAACCAAGGACAACCCATAGGGATGTTTGTAAAACCCAAGGGCTCATGGAGGTTGACACATTTACAGTACAAGGACACACTCAGGTGGAACTGGGACAGCCATGCCCAGCTGTCCAGTTGAGCTGAAGGTGTTCAAAGTTTAACTGTGCTGCACTAGCACCTCTAACCCACGTTTGTGAATGCATGTGCACACACACACACACACACACTTGCAGGCACCCCTTTGTTGTTATATTCCTCTATCATCCACTATTTCTTATTCAGAAAATATTTATTGAATACCTGTTAGGTGGTCAGGGACTAGGGATTATTACATTCATTTTATAGAAAATCAAGTCCAGGAGGGCTGGGGTTGTGGCTCAGCGGTAGAGCAGTAGCCTCAAACATGCTAGGCCCTGGGTTGGATCCTCAGCACCACATAAAAATAAATAAATAAAATAGAAGTATTGTGTCCAACTACGACTAAAAAATAAGATTTTTTTTTTAAAAGAAAGAAAATCAAATCCAGGAGAAATTGAGTAGCTTGTCCTTATTCTTCTAGCTGATGTGTGACAAAGTCATAATACCAACCCAGGCAGAAACTGTTTTCAACCTCAACACTACTTCATAATCTTGTGTGAAGGAGGAAAGTAATATTACTCCATTGTGATAGGAATTAAGTAATATTTATTGAATACTTGTTCTCTGCTAGGCATTTTAAGTGCATGATCTTATCCCACAGTAATCCCAGTGAAACAGTTTACCATCTCTATACCGATTTTAGCCCTCTTTCATAGGTTTGGAAGTTGAGATCCAGAAATATTGAACTTGCCTAAACTTGCATAATAGCAAATGTGAAAGCCAGGATTAAACTTAGGTTTTTATGATTCTCAAATTTATGCTCTTAACTACTTATTGTATTATTTCTTAGAGATTAAATAGGGTACCTAAGGTGGTTTTAACATTACATTCTCCAATCCTTTGTTAATCTCCTTTCAAGAGACAGAGATAAAGTTCCCTCTCCTTCAGCGTGGGCTGGGCTTAGAAACTTGCTTCTAACAAATAGGATACTATGAAAGTGAAGACATGGCAGGTCTGAGATTGGGCTACAAAAAGACTGCAGTCTTGGGCAAACTCACTCTCTTGAATCCCTCCCTTTTGGGGAGACCAACTGCCATGTCATGAAGACACTCAGGCAGCCTATGGAGCGTCCCACATGATGAAGAACTGAATTCTCCAGACAACAGCCAAGAGAAACTGAGGTTTTCAAAAGCTACATGAGTGACTCTGGAAGACGATCCTCCAGTTCCAGATGACTGTAACCCTGGCTGAGAACTAACTGCAACTTCAGAAGAGACTCTCAGCCAGAACCACAAGCTATGTACTGTCACATTCCTGACCCAAGAAACTGAGAGATGATAAATGTTTTTTGTTTGTTTGTTTGTTTTTAGGATGTTAAATTCTAGAGCAATCTTTGAAGCAGCAGTAGATAACTTATAAATACCTCCCTGGAGACATGCAGAACCCCTCGTTAATATTTAGAACCTAAATAATTTTGCATCTTATCTATTGACGCTGTACATGAATGAGGACCAAAGTCATAATCTTGGTGCCCGGATGGAGAGAGAGCCCCCCTTCTGTTTGGTCAGT